ATTTGAAGAACTGGTGCATCCTAGCGACGCTGCTTCGGTCAAGGATGACAAGACCCGACTGAAGAATTCGCAGTCTCCCTGCAGGTGTTCCCCTAAAGTGGGTTTGCCTCGCAATGGCACAATTGCTGGTGCTGCTAAAGACGATTTTACAATAACCATGCAGGACACCTCACAGCAACCTCTGTCAAAGGCTACGGCCGCTGAAGGTGATGAACATGTATGCTGCTGGGAAAATTTCATCAACATGGTTATGTGGGCCGAGTGGGTCGCATTCATGTGTGTCACTGGATTTCTGATCGTGGGCTTAACCGTTCATAAGCTGCGAAGGACGGATATTTGGGAGTTGGAGCTGTGGAAATGGTGTGTGCTGGCGTTGGCAATCATTTCGGGTCGGTTAGTGAGTAAGTTGTTGCTGACCCCATTGGGCTTCTTGATTGAGAGGAAAATCTGGCTCAAAGAGAAGGTCTTTTACCTTGTCTATGGATTGAAGCACAGCGTGCAAGTGTTTATCTGGTTAGTTTTCGTTCTTTCGGTCTGGGGTTTGCTGATATACCACGGAGCAAAAAGATCAAGGCACGCAAGGGAGATTCTAAGTGATGTGACAAGGGCTCTTGCTTCTTGTCTCGTAGGAGCTGCTATATGGCTTATCAAAACACTGCTGATAAAGTTGCTTGCTGCTTCCTTTCACATCAAGGCATTCTTTGAGCCTATCCACACGACCGCCGATCACCAACACGTGATCGAGGTGCTTTTGGGAAACAATTCAATGGAACAGGATGGCAAGTTCAAATGGCAGCTCAGTTTCATGAAGTGCATTCATGGAGTGTCAGAAAAGCTAGAGGAGGTAATTGATGCAGAGATGCTGACCAACATGAAACAACGTCGAATTTCACCTTGGAATATGAGGAGGTTGATCAACGGTATTACTGGCCCATGGGTATCTATCTTTGACAGCAGCCTTGATCATCCAGACCAGGAGATCGTCCGGAAAGCCGCGGAGACTGCTAATGAGATATTTAAAAATGTAGGGACGCAGGGAAAGGGGTGAGAAGGCCAATACTGTCTAGAACTCTCTCCCCATTCTAGTACTTTTGCTGTACTAATTTGTCCCTGATACCTGCTCTATGGTTTTACAAGGTACATTCGCTGTACTAATTTGTCCCTGATGCCTGCTTTATGGTTTTACTAGGTACATTGACATGAAGAAGAAAGAAGATGTTGCCAAATTCATCCCTTTGATTCAAGGACCAAAGGGCGATGGAATGATCGATAAGCCAACTTTAGAGAAATGGCTGGTAAGTTCATAAATCGTAATTCAGGATATGTACAGAGTATCAGAATCTTGTCCAAGTTACAATCACAATACCGTCAATAATGTGTAAATAGCAACCAACTTGTGTAAAGAAATGCTTAAGCTCGCCGTATTGTTGACCCAGTTCGAGAACTAGTGAATTAGTATTGCACTATCAGTTACTTGGTGTCTTTCGGTATATGCTGATCGACATCCAAGATTCTATGCTTTGGAGTAAGATGTTTTCTGGAGTTATGTAACAAACTGAAACAGAGGGACTTTTGAAAGTTCAAAGTTTTTGAGGCAGACCTACTTTCAGATTAATACATTCACAAGATTTTGACTAAATAGTCTATTTTCTGCAAGAGACTGTTTACCGTGAAAGGAGATTACTTGCCCGCACCTTAAAAGATGCGGACACAGTTATCGATGATCTGGACAGGCTTGTTTCAGTAATTGTGCTTGTCGTGATTACCATCGTGTCGTTACTTATCATGGGACTTTTGACAACGGAAACACTTATTTTTATCTCATCTCAGCTTTTGCTTGTGGTGTTCATGTTCGGCAACACTGCCAGAACCGTGTTTGAAGCCGTCATTTTCATATTTGTCACACATCCATTCGATGTGGAAGACCGTTGTGTCATCGATGGAGTGCAGGTGTGTTACTTAGTCCTGAGACTCCGCGTGAGACTGCTTTGTTACCGATTCCTTATTTGCCTGACGTCTGAATTCCTCACAGTTGGTTGTTAAGAAGATGGAGATTTTGACCACGACCTTCGTGAGATATGACGGTGAAAAGATATACTACCCGAATTCAGTTCTGGCCACCAAACCCATTAGCAATTTCAACAGGAGCGACAAAATGGGCGATTCTGTGGAGTTCACAGTCGATTTCTCCACTTCAGTTAATAGTATTGCAGAATTAAAGGAGAAAGTGAAAACGTATGTCAATCTACTACTTCCTAAACCTCTTTATATTGCCCCTACTAACAGGAAAAAAAACGAAACATCATCGGTTGGTGGTTGAGCTTTCTTCGGTTCATACATCATTGTTAACATTGCTAAATACTTCTTTAGAACAAACATACACAATTCCTGATGGAATTCCCATCCTTGGTTGGAAAACTAACAGGTACTTGGAAAGCAAGCCTGAATACTGGATGGAGGCACACAGCATCGTGGTCAAGGAGATTGAGGATGTCAACAAGTTGAAGATGGGTCTCTACGTCACCCATACGATAAATTTTCAAAACCCACGGGACCGGAACAGCCGGAGATCAGAACTCGTGTTGGAGCTGAAGAGAATCTTTGAAGAAGTCGGTATCAAATACCGTCTGCTTCCTCAGGAAGTTCAAGTCAGCTATGCCGGTTCAGCAGCTGCTTAACGCGCAGTTTTGAATCCTCCATGAGAAAAGTTGCCTGTGACCCGCAAGTATGTGAGGACGTGACTGTTTTGCTTTTCTTGATCATCAAGTCACAGTGCATTACATCTATGAACCGACTGTCTCTTTTGATAGAATGTTGATTTGGAGTTCCGGTGTTGTCTGTTTGTCAATTTTATCTGTTTGATTGAGAGAGGGTTGTTCCCAATGCCATTGGAATCGCAATGTCAAGGAACAGTCATCAAAGTTATCTATCCATCATATCATTTTTTTAACAGCTTAAACTTTCAAAGTAATCGAGTGCAATGTAATTGTGGGAAACATGATTTGGTAGCCGAATAAGGATTGATTGACCTGCTAATTTCCTGACATAACAAGATACCTCTGTTACTCATTTGACAGGCCAATGATGCTTTTCTTTGGTGCGTTAGATGCACATTTGCTTCGCAATGGATTCAGATTTCTCACGTTCATCTGCAAATAGTGTGTCGTCTGTCTAGACTCTAGCAGGCTGAGAGCATTCATTAAATTAATCAAGCATATGAGAAAGGTGTGAATCACGTGTGTTTTTCGTGTCAAAACGAAAAATGTCGACACCCATTTACTATTCATTTTCGTAGTATATCTGGCCTAATTTCTAGATGTTCAAAGTATACTTGTGACATTGTACTTTTCGATATGATATATAACTAAACAGATGTCAGCTCGATACTTGGGATTACTACGTTTTACTATAATATTAATGTTTTTTTTCATTAACCACGAACTTTATAATTACTGATACTTCTCTAATAGTAGGTTTTCAATTGGTTTAGGAAGAAGAGTACGATGACACACGATTTTTGTAATAAACCCTTTTTGAGGATGACTTCTAACATCCACTTCCCAAAATAGGCAGGTGTGATACAAATGGACTTTTTCTTTTTTCTTATTTACCAGTAAATAAATTCTTCCCGTAAGGAAGAATGACAATTAAAGTGAATAAGCCACAATCTCTATAACACTTTCTTGTTATCTTATTGAGACCATTTTTTTAATAAGGGGAATTGATTATTTAAAATTATTATTAGATTTGGGATTAGAGTGAAGTTACATATTTTTTTAGATTAAAAAAAGTTCATGGCACAATTAGCATTAAACCTAAAATTAATGGTTTTTTTAGGTAATTGGCATGTGCTTGCAGGATTCGCCATCGTTTGCTTCTTTCCTGCCCATCATGCTATTCAATTTAGTGTACTTTACAATCCGTCGTCAATAAATGTAATTAAGTTTATAGTTCCTCTTGGATCGGTGTCAATTTAATCCAATGCTCGTATTGATGAACACGTTGATTGCATTGACAAAAAATAAAAATGATCATTGCCTCTATTTTTTTCATGTACACAGGACATATTGTAGTTATAGGTTATTAATGACTCAACATTAGTGAGATGCCTTTTCAATTTACGTACAGAAGATTTAATTGTCATATCTTCAATTCACATGCAGCAGCCTCAATAGAGATGTCTTTTCAGTGTATAGGTTTGAAGTATTGTGTCATGGGAGGCATTGTTCGCAAATTTGTAAGGCACTATTGGCAGGGAGATTCGGTAATCCGTTCCTCACCTCCTGTTTAATTCTTTTCCAATTTTATTGCATCTATCGGTCTATATTTGGTTTGTAATTCAGCCTTCTTTACTTGTCAAGATTATATAAATATTGGCTTGGTCGTTATTAAATTTATTATTGCTTTCTCGGAGTTATTATCTCTGTTTATATTTTTTTCCGGTTATCGCACGGAATTTACATCAGTACACACCCTTGATGAAAGATGGGGATTAGGAGGTGTGGTTGATCTAAGTTTGGATCTTTCAGATTTCGAGTATACTGTTTGCTTCATCAGTATGCACGAAGTGCGCGAACTGCCCGCGCCTTGTCCGTCAGTCCGACATGGATTCCGCTGATTCGTGGCACATGTGGAATTCGGGAGTTTGTTTGGGGTGATCTTTGATAATTTTGTTTCTCCAAATCTCGCATTGCACGCACTTTGACTCCTCGTTTTTCGTTTTTTTACTTTGATCGAAGCTTTTAAATCGTGTGACGTTGACAAGGAACGAGCCATTCAAAACGACACTTCCCGCGGACCTTGACTGGTGCGGCAATGAAACCTCCTCTTCTGTGTCAGCTTAAATCCTGCAGATCTCCCTCATTTCTTCATGATCTTGCTCTGCACTTTCTTCCTAATCTCTTAGATTTCTGCGTTCTCCTGTGGGTACCCTTTTCTTTTTGGTTTTCAGCTCTTTGAAAAATTTAGAAACTGATTCGGTTCAGCTAAAGCTTTCATCTTCATGTTAAAAGTCCAAAATATTTAGAGGACAAGACTTGAGCTTAGCTTAGATTTTGAGTGGTTATTGAGAGTGAAACATTCAATCATGGAAAATAGGAAAAGTTTGTTAGAGAAGAAAGGAACAAAGGAGGTAGTTGTTATGATTCCGGGCAGTGAGTACCAAAGCAGAGGTTCTTCACCAAGATCCAATCTTGATCCGACAGAGATTAAGAATCTCCAATCAAGAGCACAGAGTTCTGCTCAAGGAATCACTCGATCCGGCCCAACTCTAAGTAAGCCTCGCGTGAATCCCACTGATCGTTTGGCTACAAACAAGTTCTTTTTGAGTCCATGGATATCTAAGAGGAAATCAAGATTTGAAGAACCATCGTGTCATGGTGATGCTACTTCAGTTAAGGACAATACCCAACTGAAGATTTCAGAGAGTTCGCCTAATGTGGGTTCGCCTTACAACGATACAAGTGCTAACGCCACTAAAGACGGTATGAAACCCGTGCCGAACGCTGCTCAAACGCCTCCTTCGAAGGCTGCAGAGGTGGAAGATGATGAGCATGTGTACAAGGCTGCAAATTTGAAGGTCCAAGAGATGGCCGGCAAGAAATTCGCCAAGTATATTATCTGGATCGAGTTCACAGCATTTGTGTGCATCATGGGACTTCTGATCGCAAGTTTAACCGTTCGCAAACTGAAAGATACGGAAATTTGGCACTTGGAGCTGTGGAAATGGTGTGTGCAGGTGTTGGCGATCTTTTGTGGTAGGTTGGTGATTGACTGGTTGATTAACACATTGGTTTTATTGATTGAGAAGGATTATTTGCTCAAACATAAGGTCTTGTACTTCGTCTTTGGATTGAAGGACAGTGTCCAAAGGTTTACCTGGTTGGTTTTCATTCTTTTAGTCTGGGTTTTGCTGATGAACCATGGGGTGAAGCGATCGGAGCAGGAGAGGGAGACTCTACATTATGTGACAAGGGCTCTTGCTTCTTGTGTCATAGGAGCTGCTATATGGCTTGTCAAAACACTCTCAATAAAATTACTATCGGCTTCTTTTCAATGCAAGAGGTTCTTCGATCGCATCCAAGAATCTCTCTTTCACCACTACATAGTCAAGACCCTTTCAGGCTCGCCTTTGATGGAACAGAATGACAAGCTCTATGGGCGGCTCAGTTTCAAGAAGTACATCAAAGGAGTGGCAAAGAAGCTAGAAGAGGTGATTGATGTAGATAAGCTGAGTAAGATAGACCGGGGTCAAATTTCTGCTTGGACGATGAAAGGGTTGGTTAACGTCATTAGCGACTCATCCCTAGGGATTTCAACTCTTGTTGGAAACCTTAATCAATACTGTGATGAGGACACAGAGCAACAAAATAAGGAGATCACTAATCAATCAGAAGCAATGGCAGCTGCTGACGAAATATTCAAGCATGTCACTAAGAAGTCTGGACATGAGTAAGAAGAACCATGCTGTCACACACTTCCCTTGCATTCCAGCTAAAATTTTGCTTAGAAATATCTCACCAATACCTGCTTTATGTCTTTACTAGGTACATCGAAGAGAAGGACCTCTTGCGCTTCATGAAGAAGAAAGATGTTGACAAATTCATTCCTTTGGTGCCAGGAGCAGCAAAAACTAGACGGATCGATAGGTCATCTTTAAAGGACTGGCTGGTAAGTCTTACTAAATTAATAATATGTTGTATTAGGAAGCTTTTTGCTACCTCTTCCAATGTTTTCGAAGATCCATAACTTTCTGTTCTCATCCAAGTTCTGATGATCCCAGAACAGTCAATGAGTGTACTAAATCTCAATGTTGCGGCGTTGTCTATACATTTAGAAAACTTGTGATAATTAGTGGGCCATCGGCCCGGTGAATGCTCAACCACAATTCTATGCTTCAGAATTGGATTAGGTCTCCTGCCTTTTGGAAATAAAAGAATCACAACACTTTTGGCTCAGTCCGAGTCCAACAATCAGATGAGTACATTCCTAAGAACCTAATACAGAGTTTGTCTTCAGGTGAGCGTTTACCTTGAAAGGAAGTCCCTCGCCTACAGCTTGAACGATACAAAAACAGCCATCGAGGAGCTGAACAGGCTTGCTTCAGCAGTTCTGCTGATCGTGATCATTATCGTGTCGTTACTTATGATGGGAGTTTTGACGACACAAGCACTTGTCTTCATTTCATCCCAGCTTTTGCTTGTGGCGTTTATGTTTGGTAATTCCGTCAAAACAGTGTTCGAAGCCATCATTTTTGTTTTTGTGATGCATCCCTTTGATGTTGGTGACCGTTGTGTCATCGACGGAGTGCAGGTGAATTACTAATCCTAAGACTCCCCATGATTTGTCTGAGCTGATACGATACTTTGCCTAACACTTCAATTCCTCGTAGATGGCGGTTGAAGAGATGAATATCCTGACAACAGTCTTCGTGAGAAATGATGGTGAAATGATATTCTACCCAAATTCAGTTCTGTCCACCAAACCCATCAACAATTTCTACAGGAGCCCAAACATGAGTGATTCCGTGGAGTTCACCGTCGACTTCTCCACTTCGCCCGACAGCATTACTGCTTTAAGAGATGAAATAAAAAGGTATGTTGCCTGCTACTCCTGAACCTCTTTAAACGAGGCACCAAAATTTGCATTTTCGTGCCTCATAAGCCATGTAGACTCGGCCGTGAATAAACATGATCATGTAATATAAATTGAACAGCATTTCATAATTGTTGGGGTGCGGTTCATACTCCACTTCGACTGGAAGACGAGGGTCCCGTATCCTGGTGAGAGGGTAGGGGTCCGAGGGCTGCCCCGGCGAGGGTCGTAGGGGTAGCGCCCTTGCAAAGCCATATGGCTTTTATATTTTGAGCCTATATTTTATTGGTAGTTTGGGCTTGGGCTCATGAATAACTACTGTTACCTACGATGTGCTAATTATAGTAGAATCCTCTGCTGGACATAGTCCTAATTTAAGGGTGAAGAAGGATAAAAATCTTGTGTCTCGATTTTCTTTTCTTGTTTTTACTTTCTATTTCCTTGTAATTGTGAGCCGAATCCTAACAATACTATGTGCTTAATACAGAGAGGGAAATCTGCTGAATAAAGACAGAGACTCCATGAATTTAAGATGGCGATGCAATTGACTTGTGTGAACTAAAACTCAATGCGAGGGTGTGTCATTTGGCTTTTGAAGCCGTAGTTTGAAGTTTAAGAAACATCGTTTACTGGTGATTACGCTTTCTTATGTTCATAACGTGAGAAAAAATGCAGAGAATTTACACCAGGCAATTTTCATTAGCATTGCCGAATTCTTCTTCCATACAATCGTATACAAGTTTCTGATAGAATGGCATTCCTTGGGTGAAAAAAATCAGGTACTTGGAAGAGAGGCCTAACTATTGGAAGAAGGATCACAGCATCGTGGTTAAGGAGATCGAAGACATGAGCAAGTTGAAGATGGCTCTATACGTCACTCACACGATAAATTTCCAAAACCCGGGAGACAGGAACAGCCGGAGATCCAAGCTACTGTGGGAGCTGAAGAGGATCTTCGAGAAACATGGTATCAGATACCATCTGCTTCCTCAAGAAGTTCGAGTCAGCTATGCTGGTTCAGCGCCCGCCGGTGCGAGGTTCTGACTCCTCCAGGAGCGAAGTTCTTCGCCAGCTGCAAGTACGTTGAGAAGTGAATATTTCCTTTTCCTGATTCATTAGTCACAATGCGTTATACCTATAAGTTGAATGTCTTTTGGGCTAACAGAAGGTATGAAATCACAGTATGATGGGAATTGGATCACATCGCAGTTTTCTACTACCTTTGCCCTCCAACTTTCAAATTCTGCTTATAGTTATGGAGGAGATAAATCTAGCATTGAGACATACGTTCGTCCATTTTGCTCATTTGACCCAGATATGACTAATACTAATGCTACACGCTTGGTTGGAATTGAGGTACCTATTGATGAAATTGCAGCAATATTAGATATTTGTCATCGTCATTCTTTAACAGTATGAGCTTTTAGCTTGATCGGCTGCATAATTAGCTTAACGACCCAACATATAATGTAATATCCACCAAAGGTCATCTCACTAATTTCCATCATAAGAAATCATTGATCATTTTGAAAAGTTCATGCTCATAATGGTGCCTTCTATTTTGTTTTCTCCGTGGAGCCCAGATACGATTACTTGGTGAACGGATTCATACTTCATTCCCTTACCTTGAAAGCCCAGATTCTCAATGTGTCATCCCCTGAAATTATCTGAATCCTATTGTTCTATCGCTGCACATCAATGAAATGTCGTTACTTTTTCACCCTTCCAATGCCTTGTTACTTTGTTGCGCTTCACACGTCTTGCTCTCTGCTCAATATTTGATATTGGATGTGTTGGAACTTGCATAAAACAAATAGATCTAGTCAATACACAATGATGAACTGTAAACTGTTACGGTAAATTTTGCAAAAATCCGAGTTACCATGAAAGCCCAGATTCTCAATGTGTCATTCCTTGAAATTATCCGATTCCTATTGTTCTATCGCTGCACATCAATGAAATGTTGTTACCTTTTCACCCCTCCAATGCCTTGTTACTTTGTTGCGCTTCACATGTCTTGCTCTTTGCTCAATATTTGATATTGGATGTGTGAACTTGCATAAAACAAATAGATCGATATTGGATGTGTTGCAACTTGCATAAAACAAATAGATCGAAAGTCAATACACCATGATGAGCGTCAAACTGTTAATGGTAAATTTTGCATTTTGCAAAAATCCGAGTTAAAATTTGAAAGGAGAGCCAATTAAACTTACAGCCACCAAAATTGAAAAGATATTGACCTGAAATTGTTACAAAAATGCCAAACAACTAAAGGTGGTCCTACATATTATGAAATCGTTGATCATTTTGAAAAGTTCATGCTCATAATGAAGCCTTCTATTTTGTTTTCTCTACGAAGTGCAAATACAATTGCTTGGCGAACGGATTCAAACTTCATTCCTGTACCTCAAAAGCTCAGATTCTCAATGTATCATCCCTTAAATTATCCGATTCCTAATGTTCTATCGCTGCACATCAATGAAATGTTGTTCCTTTTTAACTCTTCCAATTCCTTGTTACCGTTCTACGCTTAACACATCTCGCTTTCTGCTCAACATTTGATATTAGATGTGTTGCAACGTGCATAAACAAATAGACTGAATTGATACATAAATTGAGTCAATACACCATGATGAATCGTAAACTGTTACTGGTAAATTCTGCGAAAATCCAAGTTACAAGATTGAAATGAGAACGAGTTAAACTTACAATTACCAAAGTTGAAAAGGAGTATTGACCTGGAATTACAACAAAAATTCCAAACAACCGAAAGCTGGTCCTACATATTCTTTTTCCAAAAGGTTCTAATGATTGTCGGTTCCTGTCATCATCACAACAAGATATAAAAACACGATTTGCATGCGCATGTACAAGTGCAATGCACCAGTTCTTCAACGTTTTTCCACTCTGGCTGCTGTTCATCAGTCATCCTCCAAGTTGAACTATCTTAGGTCTTCCCTTGACAGTTGACAATCATATCATTCAAATATGGCTAGACAGAGTTCATACTTTTTGAGTTTTTACCCTAATTACCTTCCATAAAGAAAAAAACCTTCATTTGACGATAAATTCATATGCACGGTCTAGGGCTTTTTTTAAAAGGCCGGAGCAGCATTCAAGTAGTCCTGCTTATTCCGTGCAACAAGCTTTTCAAGTGACAAGATATTTACGCGACGCATATGTCGAAAGTCAATAACATCCTATTTAGAATCTTTCCATAGAAGATTTTTCTTGTATTACAAATGTGAATGTGATTCTCTTGCTCAGATCTGTAGTGATCCAACACTAAAGACACAGGCCGCAAGGTTTCAGGACCTGTGAAGCGCTAATATTACAGCAATCAATGTGAACAAAAAAAAAAGAAAAAAAATGTCAATCAGACAAAAAGGCCTGCGGACAAGTGCATAACAGGTTGCCATAAAGATAAACCGATAACAATGTGGATGATGATAAGAATGTCGAACACGATGTCTCGTTTGACGTTACTTCCTCGGGCGGAATGTCCGGTTCTTCCACTTCCGTTCTCTGTCAAAGTCGACGAGTGGTCGGTAGCAGCCGCTGGAACGAGGGGCACTTTCCCTACCCACCTCCGGGAAATCAATCCCGACCCTCAAGCTCTCCTTGAAAACCCTGTTAAATAATCTCGCTTTCATCGCCAGTTTCGCCCTGCCCGCCTCGTCCCGTCAGTCTCCTTCCTTCTTGCTTGCTTCTTTGTAGAAGTTGAGACTGGTCTCGCTTGTTTTTTCATTGCTATTTCCTCTGTTTACTTACGCACAAGTGAATGAACTGGGCAATCCCAAAGTGCCCGAGACTGCATTAATTATTTGTTTGCTGTGTTGCTTGATCTGTCCCACTTCTCGAATTGTGCCCGAGTATTCTTTAATCTTAGCTAAAGCATGCCCCTTTAAGGAAAGTTTCCATTTTTAAAGGACATCTGAGCTGAGCTTGCTCTTACGGCACTTTCTTGATTTGGGATAAAGGGCTTCTGCATTTGTTAGAGAGCTAAAGCTCTCATGGAGACAAGTCAAGGCGTGTTGGGGAAGAATGAGACGGACGAAGTGATTGTGATGATCTCGGGCAGCGAGTATCTAAGCAGAGGCTCTTCACCAAGACCCAATATTGAGCTCACAGAGCTTGAGAACCTTCAGTCTAGGGTGCAAAATTCAAACTTGACAAGCCCTTCCGCTCAAGGACTCACCCAATCTAGCCCATCTCCTACTAAGCCTCCAAGAATCCCCACCAGGAAGTCCCTTTTGAGGTCTTCCTATTCGAAGCCGAAATCAAGATTAGCAGAACCATCATATCCTGGTGATGCTGATTTAGTTGAAGGGAAAACCAAAGTGAAGAGTTCTCAGTCTCCCTACAGGAATTCACCTAGAGTGGGTTCACCTTATAATGCTGCAAGTTCTGGTGCCAATAAAGACAATGTGAAGTCTGTGCCGATCACGCCTCGGACGCCATTGATCGCGTCCCCCGCTCCAGAGGAGGAAGATGATGAGGAGGTGTACAAGACTGCAAACTTGAAGGTCCAACAAATGTCTGGTAAGAAGTTTCCTAAGGTAATTTTGGTTGAGTGGGTTGCATTCGTGTGCATCATGGGACTTCTGATCACAAGTTTAACTGTTCACAAGCTGCGAGATACTTATATTTGGGGATTGAGATTGTGGAGATGGTGTCTGCTGGTGTTGGTGATTTTTTGTGGTAGGCTAGTGACTGATTGGTTGATCAATATAGTGGTCTGCTTGATTGAAAGGGAATTTGTGCTCAAAAAGAAGGTTCTGTACTTTGTATATGGATTGAAAAAGGGTGTGCAGGCATTTATCTGGTTAGGTTTGGTTCTTTTAGCTTGGGCCTTATTAATAAATCATGGAGTCAAGAGATCAAGGCACACAAAAAAGATTCTGAATTACGTTACAAGGGCTCTTGCTTCTTGTCTTATCGGAGCTGCCATATGGTTGATCAAGACCCTGTTGATAAAGTTACTATCTTCTTCATTCCAATGCACGAGGTTCTTCGATCGCATCCAAGAGTCGCTTTTTCACCAGTACATTGTCAGGACCCTTTCAGGCCCTCCACTGATGGAGATGGCCGAAAACGTTGGTAGATCGAGGAGTAGTGGCCAACTCAGTTTTATGAAATACAATAAAGAGGGAGCTAAGAATCAAGAGGAGGTGATTGATGTTGAGAAGTTACATAAGATAAAGCAAGATAAAGTTTCTGCTTGGACTATGAAAGGGTTGATTAATGTCATTAGCGGGTCGGGGCTGTCAACTCTTGCTGAGAGCCTTGAACAAAGTGATGATGAGGAGGCAAAGCAACAAGATAGGGAGATCACTAACGAATGGGAGGCCAGGGCTGCTGCTTATCAGATATTCAGGAATGTAGCGAAGCCCGAGAGCAAGTGAGAAGACCTAATGTCTGACTATTTCTTGTGTTATAGACGAACTTTTGTTCGAATCTGTTTCTGATTCCTGTATTATGCTTTTACTAGGTTCATTGAAGAGGAGGATCTTTTGCGCTTCATGAAGAAGGAAGATGTTGACAATGTAATCCCGTTGTTTCCAGAAGCAGTGGAAACTAGGAAGATCAGGAGATCATCTTTGAAGAATTGGCTGGTAAGAACATGCTAAGGATTTAAGGTTGCATTTCAATTCTAGCTCGTAGCCCTCTAGAATGTTTTCCCATTTCTGAAAATCTCCATTTTACTATCACGACCATCCCCATATTCTCCTCTCAGTCCAGTGGTTTATTAATGGCTTTCACTTCGCTTGGAGCAATTTTTGTCATAGGCTACTTCATTAGGAAACTCATGAATGAGTATTGTGCAATTAGTTACCCGGTGTGGTTCACTGAATGATTTCCCATTATTCCATGCTTCTCAATTGGAATCTCTGACCATTTCTGTTATGAAGTTCGTAACAAAAGATTTGGGTCTTTTGGAGTGAAAATATTTGCAAAATTTTTTGCCTATTTGAGTTGGTGAGATCCTAAGAGCGTACTCAGACCATGCATCTGAGGCCCAGAGTTTGATTTTTGTACTAGGATGCACATGAAACTATACTCTAACCAGAAGCATTCATTCAGACTTGGATGAAGGGTACGTACTTCCCTAGGTCCATGAGTTTACCAAAGAGGAATGAGTCATCGAGTTCTTCATCCTTGGGAAGGTTCTCGGACATCAAAACAGACAATTTAAGATGTTTGACACAGGCCATTGAGATGATTATTTAACTTGTGGAGCTGACAGTGTAATTTTTCATTGCAGGTAAATGTGTACCTTGAACGTAAATCTCTTGCACTCTCCTTAAACGACACGAAAACAGCCATAGACGAGCTGAATAACCTTGCTTCAGCGGTTTTGCTTATTGTGATCATCATTATCTGGTTACTTTTGATGGGATTTATGACAACAAAAGTACTCGTCTTCATATCATCTCAGCTTTTGCTTGTGGTGTTTATGTTCGGTAACACAGCCAAAACCGTTTTCGAAGCCATCATATTCGTTTTTGTAATGCATCCGTTTGATGTGGCTGACCGTTGTGTAATTGATGGAGTGCAGGTGACTTATTAATCCTACAACTCTAAGAGACTATATTGTGTCGGGCAACATTTTGGCTGACGTTTTGATTCGTTTGCAGATGGTGGTTGAAGAGATGAATATATTGACTACAATCTTCTTGAGATATGACGGTGAAAAGATATTCTACCCAAATTCAGTTTTGGCAACTAAACCTATCAGCAATTTCTATAGGAGCCCAGAAATGAGCGACTCGGTGGAGTTCACTGTTGACTTCTCTACTTCAATCGAAAAGATTGGAGATCTAAAATCTAGAATTAAAACGTATGTCTTCTGCAGTCTCTGCATCTCAAATTTAGGCAGTATATTTTGCATGCATGATTAATTGTGTCGAGTATGATGAGATGTGGCATAAAACCTATTATGAATTGCGGATATTCATTCATTATCAGTCTGGATGGTGTCCTTGTTGTTTAGAATTCGGTGTAAGCATTGGGCTTTTGTGAAACCTATATGGAAATAGAGCAGCCCCTTTTTAATATGAAGAAAGGCACAGCTACACAATAGAAAAGGCGAAGTCATCGATATAAGTTGTTTCATATCAAGATATTTTCTAATATGCACGAAACATCAAATAAGCTTGCAATTTTAGTAATGCTTTTGCATCTTTTTTGTGATAAAGTTTATGCTTTTGACTCTTCAAGATGTAGCTTATCAAAGTTCACAAAAAATAGTCGCGTCCCTATTTCTGTTTATAGAGAAGATAGATGGACATTAGTACTGTTGAATATGCTCTTCTATACGAATATTTGTGCATTCATTCGATTGAATGGCATTCATTGGGTATAAATGTCAGGTACTTGGAAAGCAAGCCTAAACACTGGCGTCCGGGTCATAATGTTGTGGTTAAGGAGATCGAGGATGTTAACAAGTTGAAGTTGGGCCTCTACGTTACTCACACGATCAATTTCCAAAACTACGGTGATAAGAACAGCCGCAGATCCGAGCTTGTGTTGGAACTCAAGAAAATCTTTGAAGAACTTGATATTAAGTATCGTCTGCTCCCTCAAGAAGTTCAAATCGGCTATATCGGATCGGCAGCTGCTAATGGACGGCTTTGACTCGTCCAGCAAGTTCCTAGTTTGCTGCAAGTAAGCGCCTGCTTTTTTCTTCTCTTGATTAGCATGTCACCCCGGATGTTTGTGTTCCTCGCTCGAAACTGGGACATCTAGACATTAACATCTATAATCTGAAAAATGCCGAGTGTGAAGTCACCGCACTTCTTGTGCTTGATCAGATTCGATCTTTATTTCTTTTTAATTCTTCTAAGGCGGTAAAACTTAGTGTCGTATTTCAGATTAGTCTTTCAGTGTATCATTAGCTTCGATTTGGTTAAAAGATTGTTAGTCCAGGAAAATGCTTAAGGCTTGATGATTAGTGAAGCATCAAGTACTTCACGATTTCCACTTCTTTCGGATGATTATCTTGACTGTGCTGTAAATTCGTTGAACAGCTTTGCGTTCATATTGTTGAACCGCAGATGTATTTGGTTGGTGCTGAACTCCATTAACCTATACTTGTATCTCAGAAGAGCAGAATTTACTCCGTGTTCACCGGAAATGTTGAACGAGCGAGCCAGCTCTCCTCCTTTGGGCCGAACGAGAATACGCATGTCGTCCCTTCCGTCTTTCACGAGGAAACTGTATATGATATCAAAGAGCAATGGGGGTGTTTTGATTCTTATTCTTTTGCTGCATTCAATTCGTTTGTTTGTTGGAATGATCCTATTCTTTTAGTTTTTCCACTGTCCGCACTGTTTGCCAATTTACAGATTTTTTCCCTACAAAAGCGAGTGTCAAGTGTAATGCACTCTGCATCAAATATGCATCCACTTTCTCTCTCCTTGCTCCGTTGAAATCACTGGGATTCCCATCAAAATGCAAGGAGGAATGAGCGCTTTGACGAAGCAGTGATGCTACACATTAGCATGATCCGTTGAGCTGATGATGCATGTTCTTCTAGACCCAGTGACAATAGACACGATCTAATCTACAGTCTCTTGCATGCTCGAGAGGAGCCGCCTCGCGAACCCTGCGCCCTAACGCTTCCTTTTCCCGCTTTCGGGAACCACTGCATGAGCAGCAATTCAGATCTGTGTCGCTGAAATGGTTGCGTCGTAAGAAAGTCACTCCCTGTATAATTGTCGAGTAACTCTCGAGTCTCATAATATTTGTGAAGAAAAGTTGGCCCTGGAAGAATGGACCGACATTTTTCAATGTTGTTTCGAATTCGAATTAATCACGTTCATATCACGTTAGATCGACGTCTCTTGTTAATTTCTCTCGGTGTGCACGACTTTGCCGGGTGGCTCCATCTCGCCGTGTCGTGCCGAGACGAGACTCATCGGGCTAATCCGAGCCCATAAAATTTAGACATCCATCCAGGGCTTTGTGCAATGCTATGGCCCGGAAGCATCAATCTACATTCCAGAATCCAGGACGTCACTAGCTTGATGGTGATTGGGCGCTCGGGCTAAGTGGAGATAACGCTATCCATCAATCCTAAAAGGAGAGGCCGCCACGTAGGACAGTCTTTCCAGGGATGCATCCAATTGGGATCTTCTCTATTTTGCACCTCACATTGTCACTCCATCTCTCTCAAAACCACCCCGTTCAGCAGCTTTGTCCACCATTTAACAGTCAATACTTTGCAGAGACCAAAACAGCTGACACTAGAGAGAGAGAGAGAGGGAGAGAGCGAGGTGAGATTTTTGGCAGAACAATGGCTTCAGCCTCTGCAGTTTCAATGGCGATGCCGTTAGCCTTTTCCGGGCAGAAGAAGATGCCGAGCTCCGACGGCTTCTTCAAGCCATTGCCCGTGAGATCGACAAAGCCGTTCCCGGCGTCGAAGAGCGGCGGCGGGAAATTCGTGGTCAGGGCTTCGCTGAAGGAGAAGGCCATCACGGGATTGACCGCGGCGGCGCTCACGGCCTCGATGGTGGTCCCGGAAGTGGCCGAGGCGGCCGGGTCCGGGGTCTCTCCCTCCCTCAAGAACTTCTTGCTCAGCATCGTGGCCGGTGGGGTCGTGCTCGGTGCCCTCGTCGGTGCTGTGATTGGCGTCGCCAACTTCGACCCCGTCAAGAGAAGCTGAGAGTAGAGAGAGAGAGAGTGTGTGGAGAAATTCTTTTTCTCATGCGATTTCTCTGTTGTGTTGATGCTTTCTGTACCGATCACTGTACTGTATTTGTAATCTGTCACTTCTTTTACCTGTAACATTGCCTTCGGAAAGCTGATGAACTGTGAAATTTCTGAGTTCCATTTTGGCACATCAAAGAAACTCAATTGTTTTATTTGCTCTCGCCTCAAAGAACATCTTAGAAACCCTGTTTCAGACCACCGAGTACAAAAAATCTATGGCAGAAGAAATGAACTGAGACATGATGTTTCAAAGGACAGGGACCTTTCAATTGTTACTACGTTACAGGTTTGCTGATACATGTATACTTGTCTAAAATTCAGTCACGTGATGATAAAGAATAATTTGGTGGGAAAGAATGCTACTAATTCTCTCTTAAAACAGAGAGCCAGCTACTACTCACCCAGAACCTTCGTTCTTGATTATCGCGAGACTTTCGAAATCAAATCTAGCATGTATTGGCTCTCCGAAGAATAGTTAGCCTTATCAGCCTTAACTACAGTGATCTTCACTCTCTGTTCGTCTCCATATGTTTCCTCTTTTATTTTGAGCCTGAATAGGAACTGATAGAAAAGTTTACTTCGGACAGTCTCTGCAAATCTTTCATCGTCCTGCTCTTTGAGCATGAACAGCTCCTTGGCCGAGAATCCCAAGATCTCTTCGCCGGATTCCTGGAAAGCGGTCACCCAGGTCAATCCGGTATGATCTTGTATTTGGACTTGGAGGAGATATCTGTAGTCACACTCCTCGAACTCTTGGTTGCACCTATCGCACAGCCATCTTGTGTTTCCCAATCTCATCACTTTCTTATTGCATTGTCTATCTCCAATCATCAATGGGCAAGCTGTGTAACAGAATGTATCAGTCTTGATGAAAGATACCGTCGCCTTCACTGTGATCCAATCTGGCTTATCTGATCTTCCGAGGCCTTCTTCTTTGATTTGAGACACGGTCTTACGTATCTCATTCTTGGATCCTCCAGGCATGATTTCCCTGGATATGGACAGAGAAGCTGCATCCTTCCCCCCAAAATCGAACCAGCTTCTCAGACTACAAGCCTCTGGAATATCTGGATTAATAAAAAGCTGCGTGGAAGAAATGGTACCAATAGATTTTCCACTGAAATCACTGACTTTCCCAGCTTTGACAGCCAAAACTGGAAAGAATCCAGAATCAATCATCTCTTGTAGTTTCTGACCCTCCCTGTTACAGAAGTCACCCCAAAGAGTTAATTCCACAGTCCTTCCAGATCCATCCTTCAGATTCAGAATTCTTCTCTGAGTTTCCATACCATTTTTTCTTAAGATCGGAACAGAGGGGTTGACAGATACAACAACTCCAATAACATCAAGAATAGAATTATTCTCAGCAGTCTCAATATCACTAATAGGTCTGAAGGAGAACTGCTGTTGGGGAATCGAAGCATCTTCCTCGGGACAAACATCCACAGTCGAAGTGGCCTCCAAGAATATCTCCCACTCGTTCTTCAGATGATTAAAGTTCTTTTGTGCAGGTTTCAAGCTACCTTTTGAGATCAAGTAGACTTTTCCTACCTCAATTATATCGTAGAAACGATCAACGACGGCATTGAAGCAGGTCACTCGAATTTCTCCCCCATCAGAATCAAGGAGATCAAAGGAGAAAACCTTCCCATCACCACGAGCATTATTATATCGGCGAAGATCTCCTTTTGCAGTGACTCTTGCCTTTATGGCCCACCTGCCTTGATAAGGGTTCAAAGCAGCAATAGGTATGATGCGTGCAGGTGCCTCATTCTTCATAATTGGGCCACGATTTCTGTAGTTCGGCGGAGGCTGATATGGAGGTTGAACAGCTGGTTGAAAACTTTGCATATTCTGCATATTATTTGCTTGGTGAGGAGGTTGAACAGACGATTGAAAATTCTGTGCATTTTGAACAGGATTTCTGCCATTAATGTTGTCATTATTGAACCTCTGAGCATTCCCGGAGTTGATATTGGGCGGCACTTTCTGAGCCACTGTGTCGGTTTCAGGATACATTTTTGGGTTTCCAATCATTTCACAGTCTGGTATAATGGTCTCCATGTTCAGCACAACAATGATCCTGGACATCAGAGTTAAGATCTATTCACTTAACAAGAAGAAAGATGCCAACTAATGAAAACAATGAGTCTTTTCAGTTTGATTTAACGTTGCAACAAGCAAACAAATAATACAAACAAAATTAATTTCTCAACCGTCAAGCTCTTGACCTATCATTCTTGGAACAGGAATCAAGATAATGTCGTTGCGTAAGTTTTTACTTTTCTTTCTTCCAAGACCGTGAACTTCTTGCTGCTTCTAGACAACACCAAAAAACCCATGACGAAATTTTCTACAACTCTTGAACCTGTTCTTACTGGTCTCAAACAAGTTTGGCAAAAAAGGATATTTCTTATACCCTAAATGTTACAAAATAAGCACTGACAATATATATTTTCAAACCAATTACATTACCGCGCAATCTAACCACCGAAATGCACAAACTCAAATCTAAGGACATCGCGGTTCCATATCCAATCCCAACATTTATCATTCAAGAATACATTCATTTGATCGATATCCTTTCCCCAAGAGAGCTTTGCTAAAACAATTCATCGAAAGCTACTTTCGAGCAATTAAACACCATTTTCTATCATTTACTTTTCCAGTTCTAGTAAAGCAGCTCTTGCATCATCAAAAGCATTATGCTAGATATCTAAGAGCTAAATCGATCAACACCATACTTAAAACCGCACAAATCGACAGCGTACTCATATAAAGACTAGTTCCAACAGAGCGAGCCATATCTGCAATCTTAGGAGTAGCGACCTTCATCTTCAGGTAATGTCGAAATCATCACTATACGATTGAACACCAAAACAAAACATTCAAGTTCGAAATCACCGCGGCGAAACCGCCACGGCGGGCGGGCGGGCGGCGGGCGGGCGGGCTCACTCACCTGCGGTTCTGGACGGTGCTGCAGATGTAATCGATCAACTGGACCACGGAGCCCTTCCTGACGCGGCCGGACCTGACCAGGCCGTTGAGCTGGGTGGCGAGCATCGCGTGCTGGGACGAGGCGGCGTCCGACAGCAGGAGGCGGTACCGCTCCTGTGCGCTCCGCCCGATCAGCTCGACGTCGACGACCTGGACCAGCGGCTTCGCGTCGACGTCGCCGCCGCGGATGGCGGCGATGGCGCCCGGGGTCAGGCTCACCGGCATCTCCCTCCCGGCGGGATCGGGGCCGATCGGAGGATCCGGGAACGGCGATCGCGGCGAGCGCGAGATGGGACTTTCGGAAGCGATGGCGCGCTCGACGTGCTCGAGGGGAATGGCGGGTGGAGGAAACCGACTGGAACGAAGAGGTGGGATTGGGGCTTTTATAGGTTGAACGGGCGTTGTACGGCCGGCGAATCGCAATTTTCTTTTTTTTTCTTTTTTTTTTTGGATCTCGAAACTTTAATTATGTTCAAGAAGTCATTTTTTTTTCACGGGGAAAAAATAAAAATAATAATGTTCCAAATCTTGCATCACGATATCACGTTAATATGCCAACGCGGCACCACTTACGTGCACGGCTCTCTTCTTATACTATGGAGCGTTATTATGACTTGCTATCCAATTATTCGAGATTCATCCCGTCTGTTCATAAAAATAAGATCGATTCGAAACTAGAATTATACGTACGATCGTCGATATAAACCTGTCGAAATGGGTCGTTGACCCAATTTTCAATTCGTATTTAATGAGCTGAGTTATTATATATATTAATTAATTCAATAAATAGGTCGTAAATAGATTTAGAGCTCAAAATGATATGAATGTTAAATGGATTCACAACTTAATTATAACTAATCCACTCCTATGACTGTCTTGTCACTTGCTCTCACCCCCATTCAATCTCGCGCTCACTCATTTTGTGCACTCACCTAAATTTAGGTACAAGCTTTCTTATGTTGGATTAAATACAAAAGTACTTCGACGATATGAGTCTTTACATCTACATTATATAAAAATGAGAATATTTGAATCAAATCATTTTCAACTCGATTCGACCCACAAGTGTACATAGATGCCGTACGCATCTAATCTGTCTGCCAACTTTTGATGTTTTTGCCTGTTGTTTTGACCTGATCTGCCTGTATTAACTGGTCAAGGTGTCTCCCTAGCTCTACACAGGAGAATCGATCGATGTATTGGGGACAGATATAAGCTTTAATAGCACCTGGCTCAGACTCACCATTCATTTAATCAATGGAGAATGCAAACTCCTCCAAGACACTACAAGAAGAACCGACATGTGCAAGAAATTTTTAGTCTGATAGTCGTCGCTATTTCATCGAAAAACTCATTTCAAACAAGACCTGGGCAAACCGACCTAAATACGCCGGGAGGCCAAGAAAAGTGGAACACGAATGTAAACAGACAAAGAATACATTTATGGGCGCAAAGCATCTGCATATCAAAACTTATGGGTGGATAAACAACACAAAACCATCCGGCATCTCTCTTTGTCTGGCAACATCGGCAACCGAAGGCCCTAAAATCAAACGGTGAACATCAACTGTGACAAAAATTTACAGCACATGATGGTTTAGGCCAACGGGACATCAACATCAATCTCTGTCGTCTCCATTACGGGCCTCGTGTACACCTCTTCTTCCTTGGGAGGATGAATGGTCACAACATCGGGCAGAGGTGTTTTGGGACCCTGTTTTCCCTTAGGGTCCCAGTCTAGCATAATCTTGACCTTAATACCGAGAACCCCCTGAACCAACAGAGAAAAACCGCCATACACATTAGAAACTGATAAGGTAATAGAACAGTAGACTTATAGGAACATGGACACAAACTGTACACATGTGCCAGCGTGTAGTTTAGTTGACGCTGAAGCGATGACCATGAAAATGCACATAAGGACATACCTGTCTCAAGAGAACATGTCTAACAGCAGAGTCAATGTACTCATTGACTGGCTGACCAGAAGAAATCATGTAGCCATCCTTGAACTTCATCGACTTGGCACGCTGAGCCCTCAGCTTCCCACTGACAATTACCTATAAATCATTCAGAAATTTTCAGCAAATGGATCCCACTATGGCCTGAGAAAACAAGTTGGGTGCATCGCAGAATGGCGTTTGGTAGCTAACCTCACAACCCTTTGCACCACTTTCCATAACGAACCGCAGAACACCATAACAAGCCCTGGTTAATATATGAAGCAATCAAAATGATTAGTAACGCCGACAAAGTACCAATCATCTAAATTAACATTCAGGTTTTAGGACAATCAATTGAGAACAATGTAGCACAACCAAGCCACAAATACACTTGAACTGTGTCAAAGTGAAAATGGCTTAGACATGCATCGCTCATTTAGTCATCTTCCGACACAAACTTGGTACTGGAAAGACCTATTTGCTTTATAGATGACGGTACAGTGTCAATCTCAGTGCAGAACAATTTAAAAAGGACAGCAGAAGGCAACCAGTCCTAATTGCAGAGCAATGAGGACATCACTAAAGTTACTAGATAGATATGAACTAAGTTGGCATATTAGCATCCAATCATGTACCCTCCCTAAGGTTACAGTATAATAGGGGAGAAATATTCCACAAGGATGACAGCATGAAGATACAAAATTGTAGTATTTATCTTCCAGACACGAGAAGGGAAAAAGGAAAAAAAGAAAACCCTGCCTTATAAGCGCCACTAGGGATTACAGATGGAAACTTTACACAGAGAGTATAAAAGTTTCCACTTAAAAAATATCATTGTTCGAGATTCAAATTGCATATGCAGTGAAACCATATACCAAGCTTCCAATTTGCGCTTCTAAAACCAAAGATATTAGAGGGCCAAGCAGTAGAATTAGAGCAAAATTTTTTGCACTTTAAGAGAAAGATCTCAAATTAAAGGAAAAAGGGACATGAGGTGTAACCGTAAGCAAAAGGCACTTCAACTGGCACTTTCAAGTGCCACAAGAACTCAAAGAGCATCCACTTGATACTAAACCTAAGCTGAGGTTAAAGCAACTAAAAATCAAACGAAGCAAGGCAACTGCACCAAAGCAGCTGCGACGTCATACAACCTTGTGTACATCCAAATCTTTAGATAACAAAAACAGTAACAAGGACACTAGCTCGCACATTCGAAAAGAACACAGGCGGTCCACAGAGACCAGCAAAGCATAGCAGACAACAGCATTAGCCAACTAGCAGATCATTTCACTACCAGCAGATCAACACTACCATAGCGTCGCAAACAACATGAATCAACCTGTAAGAACCACAATTCAGTACACGCATCTACCTGCGAACGGCGAGCCCACCAAGGAGCTTGTACCGGAGCGACTCAGCCTGGGCAATAGCGCACAGCCCCCTGTTGTTCACCTTCTCAGCGTACAACTCCACGCCATTCTCCGGAAACTTGAACCGCTTCTGCACGACCGACGTCAGCTCCCTGATCCTCCTCCCCTTCTCTCCTGCAAAATCGATCGCGGAACCCACAATCAGCAACAGAAGAATCGACCACAAACACAACCAACAGCAACGACCCAATATTCGTTGTAGAACCAGAATGCCAAAAAAGAACAAAACTTTGGAACCGACCCAGAACGTTCTGCGTGCGGGTGGCTCTGATGATGATCTCGGTCCGCATGGGCGTGACCCTGACCTCCACGCCAGAGTACCCATCCTCGGCGAGCTCCCTGGTCAAGACCTCGTTGAGCTCGGCGAAGAACACTCCATCAGCTACAAACTGCATGTGTATCAACGTCACACCCATCAAAAAGCTCAAATTTTGGCAGAGAATTTTGCTCACCGAGGGAGCTCATTTTCGGCAGCTAGAAACAGGCAGCAACGAAAGCACGAAGTCGAAGCAACCGAGGGACTGACCTTCCTCTTCTTGCTGATCTGGGTCGCCATGCTGCGAGATTCCGAACCTGGGCACTTCGCAGGGTGTTGGGTCGCCCGAGATCGGTGGCGTCCGTGTCGTGGCGGTGCCGGAATTTTCTGCGAAACCCTAGCTTCGGGGAAGATGAGGATACGGGGAACGAGGTTCTTATATGTAGGGCGGGGCCGTGACTGTAAGCGAATCGGACGGCTATGGTGAATTAGGTCCTCCTTTCAACGGCCTGGATGGGCCACTCTTTCTTTCTTGTTTTTTTTTCCCTCCTTTCCTTCTCTTGGGTGCGATTCAGATTCTTTGAGCATGCGATCGCTATGACCTAACTGAATCCTTACTCGTAAGTCGCTATTAGATCACACACTTCAAAAGAAAACATAATTGTTCTATGATTTTGATTTAAAAGGATAACTAATGTCGTGACGATAGTATAATGAGTAAATTTTGGTACTTTTTAATGTTCGTGTAGGCTAATCCTCTTCAGATGCACTCCTTTTTATAATTCATGAGTGACCGGCATCTCTTAACATCCATTCTCGCTCGTTGAAATCATATTCCAAGTCCATATGTAATGATTATAAGTGTTTCCCACTTGAGGAGCTATATGGCAAGCTCGATCGAGATAACTGTCCGAGTGCTACTGGCATCTCCGTTAATTGTTCTTGTCTAAGAGTTCGACTACGTTATTGTTCCTGTGACCTTTGAGTCGATTTGATTTTGCCAATCTTCACAAGTCGATGTCAATGCTTCTTGGCTCCACTAACATTGACTTTACTAGGGTCTACTCAACTATCAATCAACAATGGAAAACCTGTTCCCGAATAAATTCTATTGGCTTCTCACCGTCAACTCTGAGATTTGACTTAGATTGCATTCATGATCTATATCAGATCACATGTGCTGGTCAGATCACCTATTCGTGCTCAACACATTCTATTACTTGGTCAATACTTGCAAATAGTCTCGACTTCGTTTGCTCGATAACTCTACTGTTTCATTGCGGCCCGACTTAAGAGGTCCCTTTTTGTCTTCAGTGGTCCTAGCATTGGTCATCACAGTTTGCTTGGGTTAACATCATATTATTCACAGCAATGGTCGTGAACAGTCAACGGCATCAACTTCTTCCTGACTTTGATCCTTTGACATCACAGATGATGATCTCTTTAGGGAGCGGACGAGTTACTAAACAAGAAACCTTTGAAGTCGGATGAATCGTCGGGCGCTACCAAAAACCGAGTTTAGCGAACTGAGTTTTCATGTCGGCACCGGACCATAAGAATGCACTGCAACAAACCTCAATGGCCTTAATCACTTTCTTTGGCAACGCCAAACCCCCCACACCAATAGGTGACAATTCTATAGAGAACTGAACTAACCAGCTGCAAACATCCAGCAAAAGACAGTCTCCGAGAGCTCCGGCTTTTAATTCTGCTCGAAATCTTATCAATGACGGGCTTACATTCCTTCTCTGAGAGCTTACCAGATCTAAAGAGGCAGTGCTAGGAATTTGACAGGCAAAGTGCCAAGTTCAAACCCACTTCTCTGCACCATTTCTTCCAAAAGATCAACTGAGGCCCTATTGAAGTACAGATCTCGGTCTTTCCTGGATTAATTTCCAATCCAGACATATTGTAGAAAGTCCAGAAGAAGGACAAGATCTCCTGCATAGCTTATACCGTCGCTAGTCGAGACAAGAATGTCTTTAATTCTCGAGCACTGAGGATGGTAAACCAATCTCCCTTGCCAGGCAGTGAAAACCTACGGTCCGTGACACAAGCGTATAGCCCGCCTTTGCTTTATCGTTTTCGCGAATGTTGTTCTTTTTTCCTGATTCACACATTCTATGGCAGAGACTGCATTTTCTTTTTCTGCTTTGCATCAGATCTGTCCGCAAACATTTCAGGCCCGGACGAGCCCAACCGGCGAAAGGCCATGGCCCATCTCTTATTTGATCTTCTTTTGCTCACGAATTACATTAATAGCAGCTTAAATTGTCTTCAAGTACATTGTTTATAAGTTATATTAGGGATAAGTGCATTGGAAGTCTTATAACTTATCACGAAAGTACAATTGAGTTTTAAAACTTTTCAAAAATGCAATCAAGTCCTAAAACTTGTCATCAAAATACAATAAGCCCTAAAACTTTTAAAAAGTACAATCGAGTCATTACACTTTTAAAAAGTGCAATCAAAGGAAGGACTTGATTGGATCGATTTGATAAGTTTTAGGACTTAATTGCACATTTTGAAAATTTTGGAACTCAATTGCATTTTGTGACAAATTTTAGAACTTAATTGCACTTTCTGAAAGTTTTAGGACTTAATTACACTTTCATAACAAGTTTTAAAACTTCAAATGCACTTATCTCTTTATATTACTTAAGTTGATGCGCAAAACAAGAATTTTTGCCTCGAAGGTAAAAAGATACCATATATACACTCGATCTCTCTTCACTTGAAAAGGGAGACAAACTCAATAGAGAAAGCTCTCTTCTCAATTCTTACTCTCTATAAGTGATTTTGGTGTCCAGTTTACCTTGTGTTTGTGTCTATAACAGTTTGTGAGTGAGAAGTGCTAACTTGAGACCTCAATAGTGCGCATAATTTAAGATTTTTTGTGCCTTTTTCCCTTTTACAAAACCGGGAAAAGTACCAAAGTTCAAAATCTATTGTATTGGTATCAATTAAGTCCTAAACCTTTTAATTGAACCAATTTAGTCATAAACCTTTTCACATCAGTATAAATTTAGTCCATCCGACGAATTCAAGTCAGAAATTGGAGATGTGGACGTTGTTGTCTTATGTGGTACAGCATAGGACGACCAGATCTGACATTGATCCTTTTTAATGATTTTTTAATAATTTTTAAATTTTCTATTGTTTTTTTCTTTCTTTTTTTCCTTTATTTTGGCTGGCCACTAGGCAAGGGCTTGTCCCTGGCGAGGGCCTTTGCAGCCCCACCGACCGCGGGCAAGGTCATGAAGGCCCTTTCTAGCAACAAGCCCTCACCTAATGGCCGGCCAAAATGAAGTAAAAAAATTAAAAAGAAAAGGAAATGAAAAAAAATAGAAAAATTTAAAATATTATTAAAAATGTCCATATTAGTGCTTATGGTCCTACGTCGTGCCACGTAAGATATCCGGCATCCACATCAGTGATTTTCGCCTTAAATTGGTTGAAGGGACTGAATTGGTACAAATGTGAAAATGTTTGAGATAATGACACTAGGAGTGCCATAACTTTCGTACGGCGCTCACTTGACTACCACAGCAGAGTAAAATAGATCATTTGAGTGCCACTTCCGGTGAAAATAGATCACTTAAGTGCTATTTCTGGCAAATGAGTTGACATGGATTTTTTTAATGTTATTTTATTTTATTGATTTTTCTTTTTCTTTCTTATTTTTTTTTCAAGGTTGGCAAGGGTTGTCGGTGACCCTCGCCGGAGGCCTCGCCCTCGGCCAAACTGGGCGAGGGCCACCTTGCCATCGGCCGATATGGCCACGAAGGCCCTTGGTGAGGCCATCACGGCCTTGCCGCTGCAAGCGAGACAGCGAAGGCTCTCGCCAGATCCGGCGAGGCCGCCTCGCCCGCGGCTACGAACGCCCTTGGCGAGGCCATCGCGGCCTCACCGGCCGCGGGCGCGGCGGCAAAGGCTTTCGCCAAATCCGGTGAGGCCGCCTCACCCGCTGTTGCGAACGCCCTTGGCGAGGCCATCGCGGCCTCGCCGGCGTGGGCGAGGTGGCGGAGGCTCTCACCAGATCTGGCAAGGTTGCCTAGCCTGCGGCGGTGAAGGCTCTCGCTAGATCTAGCGAGACTGCCTTGCCCGCGGCCGGCAAGACGGCCTTTGCGGGCCTCGCCCAAGGCCTTCACGGCAAAGGGCAAGGTGGCCCTCGCCTAATTTGGGCGAGGCCTTCACAATCGGCGAGGGTCGCTAGTGACCCTCGCCGGCATTGAAATTTTTTTTTGTAAAAATAAAAAAATTAATAATAAAAAAATTCAAAAAAATATTAAAATATTGTCCACGTCAGCTCCGGCAAAGCCATGTCGGATTTTCTGACTGCTAAATGGCATTTGGCACTCAAGTGATCACTTTTTCAAATTTTTGGCACTCAAGTGAGCAAAAAAAAAGTTATGGCACTCAAGTGAGTGCCTTACAAAAGTTATGACACTCCTAGTGTCCTTATCCCAAAAATGTTTAGGATTAATTGGTACAATTTGAAGATTTTGGACTAAATTGATATCAATACAACAGGTTTACGATTTTTTTAGTACTTTTCCCTACGAAACCCTATAGAATAAAAAGGATGTCAAAAGTAACAAAGCATAATGTAAGGGAAGACAAGCTCCCGAAAAATTTTAAAAAATGCAATGCACAGAGCTTGTGGCGTCATAAGTGGTACATGCCCGGCACTAACAATAATCTGGAATCAAATCTACATGCATCACTAGAATATTAGGTAACTCTGTTCTAGACTGTACAATGGGCAATGCACTCACAGTGGTGGTATATATATTTCTGGGAATATCAAGCTACTCCGGTAATATCTCCCAATACAAAACTAAGACATTGTTCGTAAAATTCTGCACGTGTCAACGAACGTGTTGAACAAGTAATACAATGATGAGAAGAGTATCGTCCCACAGAGATTAATGATAATAAACCAATTAAATATTAAAAATAGACTAATTCTAAAATTTATCTAACATATCAAAATATAATTGAGAACAAATAGAAATTGACAATTTTTAAAACGAAATTTTATAAACTAAATGCAGATAATCAATCAGGTAAAATATGTTAGAGCATCCGATTTCACCATAACCACTAGATATGAATTTCGGACCATTATGCATACAAGAACAATATCAAACATGTGATAGCGGGATTTCCTAGTCTATTTACTATCATATCTCTAAGTATAGCAAACCTACTCAGTTTATCAATTCACTATATTTCTATGTGAATTTAAATAAACATAAGCGCATTAAAATCTATGAATATTTCCGGTTTACAATGAATCTTTTGGACCACCTTATCACCGAAAGCTACACAAATAACATGGTATATTTCTATCCACATTTAATTCATGGTTATATATTGTAAGAGCAACTGCATATTATTACTTCTCAGTCTCAAACATGCACAT